TTCTGCCCGAGTATGCGACCATTCTGCGGTCCGCATACTGATTCTGCGGTCGCGGAATGGACCGCAAAACACTTCTGCGGCCGCATAATGGCCCAAAATTCGCTCGAGTTTCTGCTTCGTTCTGCGGTAAATCCCCGGTCCACATAACGTTTCTGCGGTCGCAAAACAGACCGCAAAATATCCTTCTTCTATCAAAACTTTTCCTCAACACTTAAGTGTATTCTTCAACCCAAAAATTCCGAGCCGCGGGAAATTTCTACAACCTTTGTACTAATTAATCTACCTCGGCACCACAAAACATTAATTTCCTTAGCAAAAAATTTCCGGGGTCGTTAAACATAAGTCAACATCCGGTCAACCTTTTTAACTTAAGTTCTAAACCTTGGAACTAAGTATTCCAAATCATTCCAAAACTTCACCGGACCCAAACCAATTATCCCGGCAAGTCAAATAACAACCGTAAAACATAATTTGAGCTGTAAATGGGGAGACAGGGTTGTAATACTCAAAACAACCGGTCGTGTCGTTATATAGTCATACTTGGGTTTTTGCTGAAATAGGACCTCATATGGTGTTTTTCCATGAAGAACACTAGAAGGTAACCTATTGAGAAGATGTGTGGCAGTCAGAATAGATTCACCCCAATATGACATAGGCAACCTGGATTGAAACATTAAACCTCTAGCAATCTCTAAGAGATGTCTATGCCCCCTCTCAACAATCCCATTTTGTTGAGGAGTTGCTACACAAGATAGTTGGTGCATAATTCCTTCTGAAGCTAGGAAAGCTGCCTCTTGTGTGCGTTTTCCCAATTCTAGTGCATTGTCAGATCTTATCATTCTCACTTTTACATTGAACTGTCTCTCAACCATGGACAAAAAGTATTTAAGCGTAGGAAAAGCATTGCTCTTAGCACATAATAAGAATGTCCATGTTCCTCTACTATAGTCATCTACTATAGTAAGAAAATATCTGAATTCATTATAGGTATTGGACTTATAAGGTCCCCATGTGTCTACATGTATGAGATCAAAAATATGTTTGGATTTAATGATGCTGAAAGGGAAAGGATTCCTTGTCTGTTTAGCCTTAGGACAAACATCACAAATAAATTCAGAATTTGAGTAACAATGAAGGAAATCTAAATGTTTCATTGCTGAGAATGGGAGATGTCCCAACCTTATATGCCAAAGCTTAACATCTGGAGTAGCATTAGCATGAACAGGACTAGAAAAAGACACAGACTCTGAAATGGAATATCTTCCTTTTTGAATTGAAGATACATTAGTACTGAATAGACCCTTAGACTTAAGACTACTAGATTCCAATATGTAGAGTCCCTCTCTAACTTCACCAAAAGCTTGTGGACTCTTCATTGAAAGGCCTTGCAACACACACCTAATAGATGTGAATAGGACATCATATTTGAATTGAATACAAAACCTATGAACCGATAACAGATTGTATTTGAAATCTGGAACATGTAGCACATTGTTCAAGACATGACCTAGCAGAATAGAAACACTTCCTATATGAGTAACAATTACCTTGAAAGAATTAGGTAAACTGATGTTCAAAGGTACATAAAGTTGAGTTAGAAACAAGAAAGAGTTAGGATCAAAACACATGTGCTCTGAAGCACCTAAATCAATGATCCAGGTGTCTAAATTTAGAGCAGTAAACACTGAACCTGAGTATTTTAGAATAGTACCAGCAACTGCATTAGCATTGATTCCTGAGTTTTCTGCTTGTGCGAACTTTGCCTGCTTATACATGCTCATCATTTCTGCAACTTGTTCCTTGTTGAGTTGCTGCCCAAAGTTGATATTGTTGTTTTCAGTATGCTGTCCTCCTGCATTCTCATGATCTTCATGTGCCAAAACTGTATTTTCCTTGATCTGATTTTGATAACCTTTGTGATTGATAAACTCAAAATCATCTAGAAATCCAATGATTATGTAGCAGTCTTCGTGTGTATGTCCTGTTTTTCCACAATAAGTACAAGATACATTTGGATTGTACTTCTTCTTTCCCTTAAACTTTTGCTGAGGTTTAGTGAACTTCTGTCCTGAATTGTTATATTTAGGTGCCATGATTTCTTCTCTTTGTGCTTGGTTTCTATTTTTCTAAAAATTTATCCCCTATTCTGTGACCATAAAAGCTGCAAAATCAGCTAAAATCTAAGCATTAGGCTGCTTGGCCTCTCCAGCTGCCATGAATGAAAGTGAATCAGAGTTAAAGTGTGCATTTGCATAAAATTCTATTTGATTTTCATCTTGCAAAAGAAGTGAATAGGCAACATCCATGGTAGGCAAAGGGTTCATCATGAGTAAATTTTCTCTTGCTTGTGCATAAATGTCATTCAAGCCCATTAGGAATTGAATCAACCTCTGGTCTTCAAGTGACTTAGTTAACTTTCCTTTTCCTTCACAAACACAAACACATGAACAACATATGATAACATTTAAAGTATCCAATTCATCTCACAGTTGTTTGAGTTTAGTGAAATATCCTGCAATGTCACTATTACCCTGCACTAATCCTGATAGCTCTTTCTGCGGATGATAGAGCTTGGCTCCATTTGATCTTCGAAATCTCTGCTTCAGACTGTCCCAAAGCTCTTTTGCAGTTTTGGAGTATATCACACTGTCTGCAATATCCTTAGAGAGAGCATTCAGAATCCAAGATATCACTATGTCATTGACACAGCTCCATTGTTCATGATCTGGAGACTTGAGATCTGGAGATTGACATGCTTCATTGATGAAACCAAGTTTCTTCTTGGCTGATAAAGACAACAGAATAGATGTCCTCCATCCTGGATATCCTCTTCCATAAAACACAGTGTTGACTAGAGTCATGCTAGGAGAATCAGAATTGTTAAGATGATAAGGATGATTGACATCATAGCTACTGCCTTTGCAACATTGCTGGTATCTCGAGTGATGGTTGTTGCAGGTATCTTAGTTTACTGATTATAAAAAATGAATTTGATGTAAATGAACTGGATGATTGAACTATTGGATCGAGCTTATTGCTCTGATACCGTGTACGAAATGAAGAATGAATTGTAAAATTTTCTCTGTGTATTTCAGCACTGTCACTGTACATGTATATATACACTTACATCTGAAGAATAAAGATTGGCAGGAAAGAGAAACTTTGTATACTTGTCCTATTCTAATTTGCCTACAAATAACAAATTTATTCTTTCTACTCAACTAACTATATTCCCTCACATGTTAGTCACGTGAGGGAAGCTTCTAGTATTAAGATTATCATATGGTCTATAATTAATCTATCATGAGTTGATTTGCTTGATCCAAAGGTCCTGGCTCCTCCGCGTGTTCCAAACAATCCACTGAATATAATCTATGTAACACAAGTTATATCGAAAATAGCCACTTTGGTCTGAGAACAGAACAAATGAAATTCTTTCTTCTAGGTCTTCTTCTTCTTCATTTCCTCTTCTCTATATGTGGGCAAAGCTCCATGAAAATCATAATTAAGATGGGGATTCTTCTTCCCAACATGATTTATAAAGTCAAATAAAATTTAAGTTCAATATATAATAGAATTTTCAAAACAAAATTCAAGTTCAGCAAAAACTTGACTTTTCGCAAGCACGTCTTTTCAGTTTTTAAAATAGAAGAGAATAAGACGACTTAAGTAAATACGGTTATAATCTTTTTTTGGAGCTGTTATAATACGTATTTATAACAATTTAGATACATGTTATGACCATCTGAAGAACACTTGTAATATTCATCAAATTTTATTTAAAATTTAAAATTGTTAAAGAAAATAAAAGATACTTAAGTAAAAATATTTAAAAATTATTGAACAAGCTAACTAATCTTCGAGCTACCTTTTAAGTCCAAGCCCCAACGTGTTCAAGTGTCATTTCCTCCATAATTTTCTACCAAAAAATTATTTTTAGGGTTGTATAAAGTATTTAAAAAACACTTCTCTCCTTTTATATTTTACGTACCAATCAAGAGGAACATGTCTCTTTTCTTCCTAATCACTGCCTAATACTAACATAAATTGTTATATTTTTAGTTAATACGTTAGTTCGTATCATGTTCTTTCAGTTAACCGTTAAATTATTTTTCAGAACTAAAACAGTGGTGAAAATATTGCAAAAACGTGTTTTCGTTCTTCCTTTTTACAAACACTTGTGCCAAGTATGAGTAGTAATATAACTGTCTTGTTGGATTATGAATTTGTGCTAAGATAATAAGTTTATGGCATTCATCGAGATAGGGATGTTTCAAATATCTACTTCAATAATTGACACTTCAGATCCATCGTGCATGCTCGCCGACCACTGGCTATATATTCTCTTTCTGCTTGAAGATGACAACTAATTTGAAATATATTGCTTTATGAGGCTGATATAACATAGAGTATATATTATTTTATTGGTATTATGTAAAATACTTAAAATATTTTTTTAAGTCAAGTTGACTTTGTCTGAGTAACCAATTATACATTCGCATCGCCTTGTCAAGTTAATATTAGGTGGAAAAGTAATGTAATTTGTATGACATTAGATATTTTTGGGATAAAGAAGATGTCTGGCAGACACATAATAGTTCCAATAATAATCAGAATAATTCTGATTAGAGTGTATATACATACCCATCCATCCTACGGTAAAGTGATTTGGGCACAGATATATATTAAGAGAGTTTAATTTTGTGTCAAATTCTTTACTTAACCATGCAAATATACTGTAATTTCACCAATTTTACCTTTTACTTTTTTATATTCTCATCAGGTAGTTGTTGGATTTTGAAAAATCTTCTACAACTCTCCGCTCCTTATCATCTGGTCTATTGTGGCAAAAAAGCATAAGAAATATTGCGAGTCCAAAAGGGAACTAAAACAAGATTGACACGTCATTGATGCTCTTATGACCAAGGTTGTTGGACCGAAGTGGTTTTTTTTACCTCCAAAGACGTAGAGATTACAAACCAAAGTGTAAATGTACGCCATCAAACAAAGATTGCAACACCCTTGACAAAATATTGAGGATTAACAATGTGATCGAGCTCAGATTGAGCTCCAATGGAGGAAAGGGAAAACACCCACTGGAAAGTTTCGAGAAACAGACTGAAGCAGAAATAAAATTTGCTTACTTTCCAAAATATCTATAAAATGTATTTATACACATGCACAGCTGGCACCAGCTCTAACCTCCACTAACTATTAATCTAACTGCCTTATTACATTGATAGCCTAAATGTTTACAGAAATAACCTATGTAAATGTAATGTGGGGACAATATGACTAATTATTAAATAATTTCAACACCCCTCCCCTCCCCCTCAAGTTGGAGGTGCGGAACCCACAGCCAATTTGTCAAGTAAAAGAGTATGTTTGTTGCATGGCAAAGACTTAGTAAAGATATTTGCGAGCTGTTCATGAGTAGGAATGTAATGTAAGGAAATCAGGCCATCTTGAAGCTCTTGTCTCTTACAAAATGACAGTCCACTTCTATGTGTTTGGTCCGCTCATGGAAGACTGGATTCTTTGCAATGTGAAGTGCTGCTTGGCTGTCATAAAAGACAGGTATGGGCAGAGAAAGAGGTACTGTGAGTTCCTCAAGCAGTCATGCAAGCCAGACCAGTTCTCCAACTATTTTTCTCACTGCACAGCTTCTGCTGATGACAAGGAAATGGTAGATTGCTTCTTAGATTTCCAACTGATGCGGCTGTCACCAAGCAATATTATGTAACCACTGACAGACATCCTAGTTTCAGGGCAAGCAGCCCAATCAGAGTCACAAAAGGCTCTTACTCTGTAATCTCTACTGTTGGATAGAAATGTGCCTAGAGATAAATTCCCTTTCAAGTATCCCAACACATGTGCTGCTGCTTTTAGGTGACTATCTCCAGGACTTTGCATGTATTAGCTCAAGTGTTGAACACTATAAGCTATATCAGGCCTAGTTCCTATAAGGAAGTTCAATTTCCCAATTAGTTTCCTATAGTGACTAGGATCTGGAAGTAGTATCCCTTCTCCTGCTTTTAACTTCACTGTTGGATCAAGAGGTGAAGTCACAGTAGAACACCCTATACAGTCAAACTCCTTAAGAAGGTCTTGAGTGAATTTTCTCTGTGGAATCACAACTCCATCCCCTTTATAAAGTATCTCCAACCCTAGGAAGTAATGGAGTCTGGCCAGATCTTTTATTCTGAAAGTTTTATGTAGGGACTTCTTTAAGCTGGTAATTTCCTCCAAGTGAGCTCATGTGATAATAACATCATCTACATACACAGCCATAAAAATTATTGAGTTCTCTTTACCTTTATAGAATAAGGAGTAGTCAAACATAGAATGTGTGTAGCCTCTAGAACAGAGAGCTTTTGTCAATTTGGCATACCATTGTCTACTAGCTTACTTTAATCCATACAAGGATTTGTTCAACTTGCATACTATTCCAGATTGCTCTACAAGTAAGCCTGGTGGTACCTCCATATATACTTCCTCATATAAGTCACCATGGAGGAATGCATTGTTCACATCTAATTGAAACATTTCCCATCCCTTCTTAATTGCTATCCCAATTAGAGTCCTCATTGTTGTCATTTTCACAACAGGTGAAAAAGTCTCAGTGTAATCCACTCCAGCCTGTTGAATGTAACCTTTCACCACCAACCTAGCTTTGAACCTCTCTACACTCTCATTTGCCCTGTGCTTTATCTTATACACCCATTTTCATCCTATGGCCCTTTTTTCCAACTGGAAGTGACACTAAATTCCAGGTGTTATTGGCATACAATGCCTCAAATTCTTGAGTCATCGTTGCTTGCCATGCAGGTATAGCAGCTGCTTCTTCATATGAGACAAGCTCACAGCCTAGTGACATATTCTTTATCAAATGTTTACTATCAGTGGCCAAGGCTCTAAAGTCAATGGGTTGCATATCAGGAATAAAAGTATTAAAAGAAAGAGAAGATGTGCTTTGTTCATCGTGAGGTGAAGTATTGACAGGTTGGTTTGGGAGTGTATACATATAATCCTTCAGGTAAGTAGGAAGTTTATAAACTCTAGGTGGTCTGATATTTTCTGGAGATGGGGCTGGAGTACTTTGGTTAGAATCAGATAAGCTAGTAGTATTATGTGGGCTGTTTTGATTCTGGAGTTGTGGAAGTAGGATACTAGGTTCAATTGTATCCTGATCACTTCCAGTGTCATAATCTCCTGATACAAGTGCTGGTGATACCATATTGTGACTGTGAGGTGATGCAGTGGGAGATGCAATAGAATCATTTGAGCTAGAGTCGGTTGGTACATGATTTTCTACATTCAGATACATTAGAGGTAATGGGAAGGAGGAAACATCAAAGTTAGAAAATAGATCATTAGAATTTCGTTTTAAACTAAATGGAAAAATATTTTCATGAAACAATACATCTTTTGAAATATATATTCTTTTTGTGGCAAGATTTAATACCTTGTAGACTTTTATCCCAAAAGGGCATTCCATAAAAACATGTGGGATTGATCTAGGTTCAAACTTGTCTTTATGTGTTTTGAGAGTGGCTGGGAAGCAAAGACAGCCAAAGCTCCTAAGATGTGAATAAAGTAGTTTTTTCTGGTAGAGTAGTTCATATGGACACATGTTTTTGATAGAGGATGATGGCAGTCTGTTTATTAGGTAAGTTGAGGTGAGGATGCATTCACCCCAATATCGTAAAGGCGGTTTGGATTGATACAGCAATGCTCTAGCTGTTTCAAGGAGGTATTTGTATTTTCTTTCCACTATGCTATTTTGTTGAGGTGTATAAGGGCAAGTCTTTTGGTGTATGATTTCTTTACTTTAATAAACTCCAGACCATTATCTGTTCTAACTGTCTTAATGGTAGTTTGAAATTGATTCTTTACCATGGCAACAAAAGCTTTGATGATATGCAAAGCATTGCTTTTGCAAGTCAGAAGGTGTGTCCATGTAGACCTGCTGTAATCATCTACAAGGGTAATGAAATACTTATAGCCATCATGAGTTGAAATATGATAGGGACACCAGAGGTCTACATGTAATAGCTCAAACATTTTAAGTATATTTGTGGTACTTTGTGGAAAGGGGGATCTGCTTTGCTTGGCCATTGGACAGACAAGGCAGAAAAATGGTTGTTTTTGTGCAAAGGTAGTTGGGATGACTGAGATGCCCCTCATTTTGACAAAAGGCACATAGCCCAATCTATTATGCCACAAAATATCTACATTATATTTCTCAGAAGCAGATGCATTTGGAACAGAACTACAAAGTTTATGGATTTAAGAATAAAGAAAAGAAGAGGCATTTGAAACAGGATATTCATTATTATTGCTTGAAACAGTAGTTCCTATAATGGACTGCACTTTATTTCTATTGTGCGTATAAGTAGTGGTGGATGCACAAGGTGCAGTGTGAGAACTATGTGATGAAACAGTAGTGTCAAGTGTAGAAGGTAAAACTGATTTACTTTTGCATGAATTTGAGTAATGAAAGTAAAGGTTGTCCTTGGCCTCATCAATCTCCGGTGACCTCTTTAGTGAAGGGCCCTATAGAAGAAGACAAGAGAATTTTGTGAATACAACTATGCAGTCTAGTTGCACAGTTAGGGAATGAACAGAATTCAAGTTAAACTTGAAATTGGGCACATAAAGTACTTTTCTTATAATGAACTTTGGACTAAGAATCACATCACCAATAAGTGTCACCTTTACTTTGTACCCATTGGACAGTGAAACTAGGTAAGGGTATACTAAAGTTTTGATATTGCACAGTAATGTCTTATTGTAGGCCATATGGTTTGTGGCCCCGGAATCAAGGATCCACGAGTCAACATCTAATTTAGAACATTCACGCAACTGATTACTATTCTTAATAGAAGAAGAACAAGCAACAGTACCTGCAAAGTTTACAGCTCCTCCAATCAGGTTCATGTCTCCTGGCAGAGGCGGATCCAGGATTTAAATTCTATGGGTTCAATTTTAAGATTTTTAATATTGAACCCATTATATTTTTAAAGTTATGGGTTCATATCTACTATTTTTACAATTTTAATAAATTTTTACATATAAATTTTTACTCCGCCTCGAAAATTATGGGTTCAGTTGAACCCGTAGTCAGTACACTGCATCCACCTCTGTCTCCTGGATCCTCCCCTGTGTTTTCTGTTTGAAGTTTTTCCAAAATGTTGAGAAGCTGTCCATATTGTTCTTGAGTTAGGTGTTGCATAATTCTTCCTTGTTCATGAGGACGCCATTCGATTTCTGAAACATTAGGTCCCTCATTTGGTGTTCTAAATACATTTGATGCAACTCTCTTCCCTTTATCGTTGTTGCCATAACTAGGATACTTTGAATTCTGAGGGTACCCATGGAGTTTGAAACACTTATCTTTATCGTGTCGTGGCTTCTTACAATATTCACAAAACAAGCGAGGCTTGTTTGATGAATATCCTCCTCTATTTGCATTGTTCCAAACATTGTATCCATTTGTATTATAATTGGTCTTAAAATTATTGTTTCCAGCACTTGCATTAAGAGATGCAGACTCCATCACAAATTAATTGTATGGCTTAACTTTCCTCTGTTTTTCCTCTTGAATGAGTATGGAAAATGCTTGTGCAATGCTAGGTAGTGGGTTCATCATCAAAATACTGCCTCTCACCACAATGTATACCTCATTCAACCCCATTAGGAACTGAATTAATCTTCTATCTTGTTCTGCCTTGTGCATGTTTTCCTTAGTTCCACATGTGCAGGTGCAATTGCATTGAGCGTGTGTATTTAGGGTATTAAGTTCTTCCCAAAGCTTCTTCATTTTGGTGTAGTAGCCAGTGATGTCAAGAGTTCCTTGGCTTAGATCACTGATTTCCTTCTGAAGCTGATACAGCTTAGCACCATTAGTTTGGTCATATCTATCTTCCAATTCCTGCCATAATTCCTTCGCATCCCTAACATATTGCAGACTATCAGCCAAATATTTCGAAAGTGAGTTGAGAATCCACGAAGTGACCATATCATCGCATCGTTCCCATTGATCAAAAGTGGCGTGACCTGCATCTAGCTTCTTAACCTTTCCTGTGATAAATCCGACCTTGTTCTTCACTGATAACGTCCTAAGTACTCCTCTTCTCCAGGATCTATAATCGATGCCGTCGAAAGCCACCGGTACCAGCATCGTCCAGGCGTTCTCTGACGGATGTATGTACAAAGGACTAGACGAATCCAAATTTTCTTTGTCTCCTGCCATGAATTAAAGTGTAGGAATCGAATCGTGATCGAATAGCAATCAAAATCGGTGGAAGTGATTTCCTTCTGCAATTTGTTTTTGCCCTAATTGAGCCGAATCAGTAATTTTAAAAGAACGAATGAAGCACTGAGAGAGAATGAGAAAATTGAGTGACTAAAGAGAGAATCAGAGCCCATGGCTCTGACACCATGACAAAATATTGAGGATTAACAATGTGATCGAGCTCAGATTGAGCTCCAATGGAGGAAAAGGGAAAACACCCACACTAGGAAGTTTCGAGAAACAGACTCAAGCAGAAATGAAACTTGCTTACTTTCCAAAATATCTATACAATGTATTTATACAAGTGCACAGCTGGCACCAACTCTAACCTCCACTAACTACTAATCTAACTGCCTTATTACATTGATAGCCTAAATGTTTACAGAAATAGCCTATACAGAAATAACCTATGTAAATGTAAGGTGAGGACAATATGACTAATTATTAAATAATCTCAACAACCCTTAACCTTAATCAAACGTCTCGAGTTCGAATTTTCAAAATAAAGTCGCCCGTTGCGGGGAGAGTTCTACTCCAAAAGTAGGACAGGTGGTGAGACCAATTCGATCTAAATACTCAACTATGTTAAAGCTTTGGTGAACCGTGTAAGCCCAAGTGCTGAATATAGCGAATTCTTCTTCTTCTGAATATAGCAAATATGAGTACTACTTATTCAAGCTGAAGGACAGCTACAAAGAAAACTGCATAAAATTTCAAAATGCGTCCTGTTCAAATACCATAAGGTAGTTGGTTTATGTGTAGGGTAAACGATTATTTTTGCTGAATAAAAGATAACTTACTGTATTTGTCGACAGTCGATATACAAGCTACAAAACGGGGAAGATTTATAAGGACATAGCTCATTACTAAATGGCCAATTTGTGGCTTCAGCAACAAAGAGCCCAGTAGTACAGCGCATAGAGCCGTTTGCGTTCTGGGCTTTGTCCGATCCCGACATGGGCTATGGACATTTGATTAGTTACATAAGTCCAACGAGAAACCCGGTCCATAATTAAGTTATTCGTATATTTGCACTTATTTTTTGTTTCTAACCAGTGTCCGGCCGCCGCTTTCAGATTCGACTAATTCAAATACATGATGAAAGTCCTACTTTGGAAGATAAAATACTCTCTATCAAATGTGACTTTATTGTCGAGTCTCGAATTCGAAATTTTTGGTTAAGGATGAAGAGATACTTATCGTCTCACGATAACGTTAGTAGTATAGATTTTCACTTTATTTTGTAATCACAACTAAAATTTTTCAAATTATAGTAGAGGTTATAATTTAGCAGAAGCCTTTTTGGTTTGAAGTGCAACATTTAATTTTCTTTCATCACAATCTTCAGTATCAATTAATCTTTAGTCAATTATGGGTCAGGTCCAGGGGCCGATGCAGCGTAGAGTTGCCGGGTTCAACTGAACCTAATATTTTTGATACGGATCATAAATTTATGTGTAAAAATTACTAAAATTATTAATAAATAATAGATATGAACTCATAACTTTAAAAATATAATGGTTTCAACACTAAAAAATTTAAATGTCGAACTCATAGAATTAAAATCTTAAATCCGTCTCCAGTTAGAACTAAATAACAAACTATAAGCGGGGGTTTCAACGTTATATAATTGAGTTAGAACGTAAAGAGCAATCAAAGTTGAAATTACGTTTAGACATGAATTTCATTGGAAAAAATAATAAATTTGTGAATCATTATTTCATTTGAAATACCCTCAAACAAGGTTTTCAATATTTCACCATTATTTTAAATACTGAAATTCAATATGTGCAAATATTTGTAGCCAAACTTCAACTTACAAATAGGGACAAATTTAGTGAAGAAGCTATGAGTTGATGTGAACTCATTAATTTTGACATAAAACATGTATATGTGTTAAAATTTACTAAAGAAGTAAAAAATATAATAATAATTAGACCCAAGAAATTGTGCGAAACGTGATAGAATTCCAAATTCGAACCCTTTAAGTTCAAATCTTATATACTCCTATGCTTGCAAATAATGGCTTCAGTAGTTGCAGGTGAAGTTATGGCCAAATAAAACACCCGTTCATGATTCGTTCTTTGAACATCTATCACGAATGAGTCGTTCGTTGGACTTGGGCTGTACAAAATATTTTCTGAAAGAATAAGTCCTTTTCATGTTAATTTTTTTCTAAATGTATATTTGGTTGGTGAGCAAAGAATTTTCTGTTGAAAAATATTTATTAAATATTGACAATAATGTTAGCAAATTGGATAGCGTTTTTGTCAAACTTTGAGTATTAAAGATTTATACTGTAATATAATTTACAGTGCTGGCATTTTCTGTAATATAATTTAGGAGTTGAGACAGTTATAGATAAAAAAATAAAAATAAAAATTGTTTTTTTAAGAATATTTTTTTTAAGATACTATATAATATTTACTTTTCTTCTAAATTAGGATCTATATTAATGTTAAAATATTTTGTTTTCTTTTATTTAGAAATATTCTAGATTGTTTACTTTCTTTCAAGTTTAGTATGTACTTTAATTGTAGATATTTACTTTCGTTAGGATCTAGAAGAAAAATAATATATTTTTCTTATTTGATTCTTCTTAGTTGCCTACAAATAGTGATGTACTCTTCTACTTTAAATCAATGTATTAAATCAAAACAAGAATTGTCATTTATTCTCGTTTTCAGTTTTCTCTCTATTTTTCTCTGATTTTCCATAACACTCCATTCATAATTAACAGAACTTATCTTTCTCTTTAGGTGAAAATTATTTTCTAATAACCAACACTAAAAGATGACTTAACTAAAAGATGACTTATCTAACAAAAATATGTTTTCATCTACCCAATGGTACACAAATTAGGAGAATATCGATTTTGGGTAATTGGTCAAAGTAGACAACACAACGTGGAAGACTTTGAAAATGGCAACCCATTTGCTCATATGCAACAGTAATTCTTTAGCGTAAAGTAGAAATTTAAGTGCTTAAGTAATTGCTTATCTTGCGGCGAAACTCGAAAACAATAGACGGAACAAAGAAAGTGCCAAACCATCTCCCTCACATTAGAATTAGATACATCGCGGTTTTCCCCTTCCTGCCAATTTTTCATTCTCGAAACAATCGAACCGCCAATAGATCTCCTCTGATATCCAGCAGCAATATTTGCAGTCAAAAATTTCACTTTCAAAGAGATACATAAGTACAACTTCCATCCATTGACATGGCCAGTCAACCCTGGTAGATTAAAAATTTTCTTTACACTCACAATATTACTACTTCAATAGGCGGCAAACATACATTTTAGGTTGTTCAATTATGGGTACTGTTTTATGGAATAGTCTTCTTTCTCTTGTTCTTCTTCTTCTAGTTCTGCTTCTGTTTTGTAGCTCAAGAGCAGATGAGGTAGTTACTGTAGATGTTCATGCAGCTCGTCATCTCCTCCGCTCCGGCCACCGCTATCTTGATGTTAGGTAAAAGTTGCCACAAATTGAATTTATTTATTCAATAATGCAATTCGATCAGTCTTCGTACTCAGATTTCTGATCTAGGTTTCATGCAATTTGAACAGGACAGAAGAAGAATTCAAGAAAGGGCATGTAGAGAACTCTTTAAATATTCCCTATATGTTTAATACTCCCCAAGGTCTCTCTTTTCTGATTCTTTCAGTTATTATTTGACATGGGTCTTAGTCTCTTTTAGTCTCTGTCAACTCATTAATGTCCTGTATTGATAATGATGTTTCGACTTTCGATATATATTTGGTAATTTTAGGTAGGGTGAAGAATCAAAAATTTATGGAGCAAGTATCTGCCGCTTGTGGCAAGGAAGAAAAGCTAGTTGTGGTAAATCAAACTGAATTTGTCACCTTTCTTATTGATCAACAACGTGCCCATTTAGACTTTAATTTCTCTCGGAATTTGATAAAAGGTTTTGTTAGTTATTTGAAAGATAGAATATTCTGTTATTTGATGGGGGTAAGCTTTCTGTCGTGTAGGGATGTCAAAGTGGTGTGAGGTCGCTGTACGCAACTACTGATCTTACTGCTGTAAGTTGAATTCTCTCTCTCTCTCTCTGATTATACTGTTCTGTTAGAAAGATGTTACCAGCATATTTACTTTCCGGAAAAGAATCTGGATTTGGTAAATGATCTAACTTATTTACAATGAGATCTATAATTTTAACGGGTTGTAGCAGGTTAATTACACTTTTTTTAGGCTACAATTCTAGGCTTACTAGATTGTTACATGGTTCCTAATACTGATACTATATTCAAATTAACACTAATGATGAACTTGGAAGGAATTCAAGCATGTAAGCAACATGGGAGGGGGATATGAGGCTTGGTTGGAGAGTGGGTTTGCTGTAAACAAACCACAAGATGAGCTTTGAATCAGTCGGACTTCTCTTGTTGCAGCAGTACCAGTACGTGCTAGCTATCAAGAGAAGAAGTGTAAATAATCACTTTCTTAACCACGAAAGAATAAGTATTTCATTGAAATCGCAAGTATATTCTCTCTCTTTGACGCTCAGTGTAAAACAAAAGTATTGCAATAAAGTCTGTGATTTTGACATCTGCATTTTTTTATACTGTACTAAGTATTTTACTCGAGACAGAAATTTTAAATAGATGAGAAACCAATTGAAACAGAAGAAAGAAAGCTTACTGTTTAATGATTTAAAAATAGGAGGTAAGCTGCTGGACGGCTAGGGAGGATGTCGTTGGATGTTTGTTAATGGCAGCTGGCGAAGAGAACTAGTCAAAAATACATTATTCTTTAAAATAAAATAAAATAAAAATAACTTCACCGATGAGAACCAAGGGCGGCTCAATAGATCTCGAGGCCTAAGGCGAAACCATTTTCGGAGGCCCTTAAATTTATTTTATAAAATATTTACACTAACAACAAAATTTGCTTTTTAAATAACAAATAAATCATTTAAGACAAAAAGTGAATTTCAAAAAACAATTTAGGAAAAAGAGCACAAAAAATAAAGCGGTGATCTATCGAATATTGAGGTCCAGAACTCAAAGTGAAAATTTTGATTCGGCTATCATCACAAACAAGAAAAAAATAAAATAAACGTACATAACGTAATAACTTAAGTTTTGAGTATTGACGGTGTAAAAAATATTTGCTCCGTCTTATCAATTTAAATGGTGATTGTAGTTCATTCTATTAAGTAGCACTTATGGGTGAATATCTAAAATAAATTGTAAATAACCTAATATAATATGTCGAATTACACTAAATGAAAATTGGTGGATGAATGTTTTTGTGTTCATGTTGTTTCAGAGAACATTATAAAAGAAATTTATTATGCTGTCAATATATATAACTTAATTCCTATATATAAAAGATAAAATTAAAATTGAAGAGTGAAGCAGCAGCAACAACAACAACAACAACAATAACAATAACAATAACAACACAGTATAATCCCACTAGTTGGAGTAGAGAGATTGTTTCTGATAGACCCTCAGCTCTCTCCCTTCAAAAACTCCTCACCTTGTTCTTGGGGTGACTCGAACTCACAATCTCTTGGTTGGAAGTGAAGGATGCTCACCACTGGATCAACTCACTCTTGTCAAATATACTAATTAATGAGGGAAAAAAATTATCATAATTTATAAATTTATTGTATAAAATAACCTCAATCAAGTAACAAAAAAACATACTGTAACACTTTTCTTTATTCTAATTATTTATATAAATTACATAATATATAACAACAATAATAATAATAATAATTTATTCAAAATTTGGGACCTTCAAAATTTGGGCCTAAGGCAATGGCCTCTGTCCCAAACCTTAGAGCCGCCGCTGATCAGAACTCCAACTACTAAGCTGTTCAGCTACCCTTATGATTCACACCTGCCAAATGGGCCATCGCTATGCTCTGAATGGAAGCTTAAAATTCTTTTTCCTATAGTTTAATGTCTTAATTAATCAGCTTGTGCACTTCTATATTTATTGGATGGTTACCTTTCACTGTCACTATTATCAAAACTCAGGTAAATAAAAAGAAATCTAGCTATAGTATTTTTTATTTCCACAACTGGAATAACAAACATTATGCGACAGAACCAGCAAGAAGCCCCAATAAATAGGCCTGAGGAGCATGTGGAAAATTCAGATAGTATTTCACAATAAATGACAGAGGCAAAGATAGACAAATTGAGCGACACACATTTTATTTTTTTTGTAATAACAAGAACAATGTCAGAACATTTTTTTTGTTCAATTACAGATGAAATTGCACCTCTTACAAAAAATTGAGCTCTAAATAAGATACTTGATGCTGCGATTAGCCGTGTATTCTGTTTCAGTACAGATTTCTATATGGTCCTGTTGGGATTTTAAGCTTGTGTAGCTTAAAGAGGGTAAATGAGAAATGGAGGAAAAATGAAATATTTGAGTTTCCCTTGGCAAAAGGACATTGTCCCATATTGGAGGAAGAAAAGACTTTTGATGGGTATATATATAATTGCTCTTCTTCTAGCTCTTAAAGAGTTAAGAAAAAGGCAAGTCTCGCGCCGTCGTCGTCGTCGCTCGCTCGGATTCGGATTTAGTCAAAGATTGATTGATTAATCTTTTTGGACAAAATTCCTTTCAATTATTTAATTAATTAATTAAATAATTAACGAAAAAATCTGGAATAACTCATGACCCGCGACCCGGTTCGGTCAGGCCCATTTTCTTTCCCGAATTATTTTAAATATATTTTTCCAGCAATATTTCAAACAACCCTTTTCCAACAGCCATGACTGTTTCTGAAAGGTTGCAAACCTTTTCAGAAACAATGCCAGCAACTCTATAAATAGAGTTTGAATCCCAGAATCTCTCCTTGCGAAATTTTCTGAGCTTTTTCTTCTTCTTCTTCTGCAACAAAAATTCCAGTGTGTTTTACAGCCTTCGAGTGGCTCGCTGCTCACCGGCGCTTTGATACCAACACTTCGGTGAGTTAAATCGTTTCTATCCTGGGAGTATATATTCCACCACCTCGGGTACTTGAGGGGAATAATTTCCTTAAGGACATACTGTGTATTCAGTGGGCTCGATTTATTCCTATACTATTTTTCCAAAATTTATTTCGTTAAACAAGTATTACTAACTTTCTGTTTTGTTTTTCCAGAGAGTTTAATTGTTTATTACAGCAATACAGAATTATAACATTCTTAAGGAAATTATTTTATTATA